ACATCTACCAAAATGGCGGCGACAGCCGGGCCGGCTTACCGTTGGCTAGATCGGTCTTGCCCTCCGCCATTTCTCCATTAAACGACATGGCCGCTCCCCTCCGGAGGCTGGGACACTAGAGTGCAGGCAACCTGAGGGAGACAACATAGGATCAGCGCTGTATGGACATAGTGTGGCACAGGAAGTCAGGACCTTCTCGGCTAATAAAAAGCAGCTGACAACACAACAGAAGCGGTGACGTTGCCGAGACACAGGAGGCAGCCGCTCAACCAAAGCTCGCCGCTCATCAGTACACCGAGGAGGAACCGAACTCCGACAGGAAACATTTCCATCCACAAGCGTCAGTGGGAACCAAGCAGCACCCCAAAACATATACTCCGACTTCCTGACAAATAGCGGCACACTTCCTGCGTCCAGGCAACCCCCGAGAGCGCCACACTTCCTGCGTCTAGGCAACCCTGAGAGCGCCACACTTCCTGCGCCTAGGCAACCCTGAGACCGCCACACTTCCTGCGTCCAGGCAACCCTGGGAGCGGCACACTTCCTGCGCCTAAGCAACCCTGAGACCGCCACACTTCCTGCGCCTAAGCAACCCTGAGAGCGCCACACTTCCTGCGCCTAGGCACCCCTGAGAGTTGGAGTGAGATTTGGTGATGTCATTACAGCGCTGTTCACGGTTCTCCTTGGGGGAAGTGCGCTTTCTGTGCCTAGGTACCCGTTCTACTACTATCGGCACACTTCCTGCGTCCAGGCACCCCTGATACCGCCACACTTCCTGCGTCCAGGCACCCCTGATACCGCCACACTTCCTGCGTCTAGGCGTTGCTGTTCTGTAGTCTCATCGATGTATATCTGGAGCATCTAAGGCACGGCTGTCTGTGGCTACTAGTCTCAGGAGACTCGGAATTCCACACTTCCTGCGTCCAGGCACCCCTGATACCGCCACACTTCCTGCGTCCAGGCACCCCTGATACCGCCACACTTCCTGCGTCCAGGCACCCCTGATACCGCCACACTTCCTGCGTCTAGGCGTTGCTGTTCTGTAGTCTCATCGATGTATATCTGGAGCATCTAAGGCACGGCTGTCTGTGGCTACTAGTCTCAGGAGACTCGGAATGACATCTGGTGATGTCACTACTGTGCATCTGACTGTTCTCCTTCAAGAAGGCTCTGAGGAAGCAAAGCCCCGCCTCTACCAAGATGGCCGCCTCCACACAGACAACGTGCATTACAAGGCATGCTGATTGGGCGGCACAGATCTGCTCTTACACATTGGTGCTGGTTCATCCGGGTGTTAGGGTCAGGTTAATATTAGGGTGACAGGTACTCTTTATAGGAAGTCCTCCGGTACTCACCAGTGTGAAAAGACTCGGCGACTCCAAAGTGCAATAGTCTGCAGAGGAGAAAAAAACAAGATCATCAGATCAGCAGATGACACTGGTGAGAACAGTGTCCACCGGGAGCGCCGGCGTCCACCCACGAGCACCAGTGTCCCCTGGGAGCGCCGGCGTCCAACCACGAGCACTAGTGTCCCCCAAGAGCGCCCAACCACGAGCACTAGTGTCCCCCAAGAGCGCCCAACCACGAGTACTAGTGACCCCCAGGAGCGTCCACCCACCAGTACTAGTGACCCCCAGGAGCGCCCAACCACCAGTACTAGTGACCCCCAGGAGCGCCGGCGTCCACCCACAAGCACTAGTGTCACAACGGAAGGCGCCGGCATCCCACCGTGAGCACTAGTGTCCCCCATGTCCTAGAGCCATTCACACACGCACACATCCCAACACCCAGGTCTCCATCTGCAGAATTTCCTATAGACGATTTATCTGTGAGGTCACATGACAGTCGCAGCAACACGCCGATAACGCTCCCCGGCTCCGGAGTGCGCACAACACCATGAAAGGGATGTAATGGCGTGCCGCGTGTGTTACAGATCTGGTCACTCAGGAGCTGGGGGACAGCGCGTGTCATAAGAACGTGTCCGGGACAGCCGCCGTCAGACCTCGGCTCCAATCGGCATCCCCGGCAGATCTGAAGGAGATCAGACTGGGCAGTGTATGGTCAGCTGACGGGCCGGGAATCCCCAATAGGCCAGGAACCTCCCCCAGGACTTTCCGTGACTCCACGACGTGTCACAGAGGAGAAAGAGAAACCAGTTCAGGAATCAGACGACAACTTTCTTTTTCTGGACACGGAATGCTTAAAACTCCAGGGACATGAACACGGGACCACCCCTCCCCCACCCCTGCAAGGGTTAAACGCTCATTTTTCTCTCAACATTCCCCCACAGGCTCCTCCTCCCCATGCGACCAGTCCCCTCCCATAGGCTCCTCCTCCTCCCCATGCGACCAGTCCCCCTATAGGCTCCTCCTCCCCCCATGCGACTAG